ATTGTTACATCTTTCAGCTCCCACCAATGGACAAAAAGCCCACTTTGCTACATGGATATGGCTCCCATCCATGTACAATAGGCTGCATTCACACAGCCCCCAACAATGGACAAAGGTTCAGATTTTCTATCTTATTTAGCCCTATACATACTTCATCTTGCTAGTTATTGAAAATAGACAAAGATTCAACGCAGCTTGGTACAATTAACATGAGGTTGGTAATAGTTGCAACCTTACAAACAAATAGGATAACTACCTTCTAGCAATAAAAATCCACTTGGTAGTGACTGACAGTCCCTTGGTGGTTGCCTGTGCATGATGGTGCGGTGCTTGAAGGGCAACAACAACCAAGGCCACCCTCTGATGGAACGGGTAAGACAAGAAAGGCCAACATTTGTTAGTGATATCACACCTTGTTGTATCAAAGGCTATGGATGTAGTTGTCATCCCTCTTCCATGGAGACAACTCCACCCCTCTTTATCACATATTCATCACTATGGTAGAATCTGGTTTAGTGAGATTTACCCTCTTTGCAACTTAGTGGATTAGTGCGGGTGCTCTTTTGATTCCACATAGTTCACGCTCCAACCATGGGTAAAGCTAGCCACTATTGTCCCTCTGGCTATAGGGAAGCCTTTCAGGGCTAACCTTATGATATTTACATGGCCAGCGGCTCTACACATCATTCCTCTTTCATATGAAGGGACAAAATTACCGGTCGCAAGTAATCCCAACTTATAACATATTTCTTCCATGTTCTGCATGTTAGTAGGTATCGCCGACCAACAATGTTTGACTCGAGACAACGATGTCACAACATGTGTCAATATTGCTCGCTCTCTATCTTGGCATAATGCCAACCATGTACGACAACAACATACAAATGCTCATCTTGGCCTCACGATAAGAGAGCACAACCATGATCATCCTCATTATCTCCTTTAATATACGAGGGGGTATCCTTCTTCGTTGCATTCATTTGTGCACTCAAATATTTGGATAAGTGCTCTTAAATATTTTTACCTTTAATTGCAGATGAACACAAGCCCATAAACCCAAGCTTATGGGAATCATTCGAGATAAATTATGGGAGTAGCAGCTTGGTAAGTATGGATGGATGAACATTGCTCATCTAGTGAAGTGAGGTATCACACTAGTAAAGCTTGGCGCTAGCGATGTTGCCTAACTTCGTCAGATAGGGCTGGGTGGCAAAGATGTGAAAGGTGGGCCAGATTCCCAAAACAATACCCTTTGATGCTAACCACGAATTGGAAATCCCATTGAGAGATAACCAAAGATGTTGTTTTAGTCTCCATCAGCAACTTACAGCCATATTTAATGCAAGTGGCTGCACAAGTTATACTATGTTGGAAATTGCCAAAAAGATTGCTTTTGCCAAGAGAATCTTCCAAAATCCTACATAGACCTTGGGGAATCTACCAAAATTTTGTGTAGGTGATATTTTTGCCAGCTACACTCAAGTACCAACCTAAAAATGGAATTTTGTATGGTTGAAGAAGTTGCTAGAAATAGGCAGTTCCCAGTCTTTCACCAGAACCAACGAAGCTTCGTTGGAACAACTGGGTAATTCATGATAGCATTGCCAGAAAGCTATTAACAGTGCCTAAAGCTACTCAAAACTTGATAGCTCACCTAAATTTACCCATTAGGTTGCTGTACAGCTCTAACCCATTAACCAAAAAAATTAAAAAAATGTCACTGCACATATATATTATTTTTCCTTCATTTCTTAGTAGAAGGCAATGGACCATATGAGATTTACACAACTCCAACTCCCTTTTCACGTCCCAGACTTTCCTCCTTCATACAACAACTTTTTCACCTTCAACCTTTCCTGATACATACCAAAAATACTCAAAGACCACCTTTTTCTTCATGTTATTTGCAGTTTCAACATTGTAAAATGATTTTCAGGCTTGTAGAACAACTTGGTTGGGAAACATTATAATGTAGTTTTAGTTCTTGGGTAATTTTTCTTGAGTACCAGAGGATCAAGTCATCCATCTAAAAGCCCCTAAACAGTCGTCCTTTCTTCTTCTGTCACTACTTCCAAATTTATCCCTTTGTTCCTGTGGATACTTCATTGAAGGAATTGTTGTCTCTTGTATTTGGACCATGAGGGTTTCTTGTTATAGGGTGAGGGTGTTTGAGAGGTATAATAGAGGGCACATCTATTACCATTATTATTATGTTGCAATAATCTACGTATAAATGTGCCTCTCAAGTTATAATCTATGATCCTTGTGTATTTTCCCATCTTCAACACTGCAGCTGTAGTGTGCACTTTCTTCTCATGCCTTTTGGTCATTGTGTAGTCATTCCAAGCTTTTGCTCTTCCATTCGCCTTCCTTAGTTCTCTCTCTCCCTTTTTCGGCTTGGTTGGGGAGTTTACACTTTTCAAACTTTGTTGGAGAATCAACTGCCAACCAACATTGTTGGACAAAACAAGACGACCCATGTCATGTAGCCTCTTGCACTTGAAACTAGTGCTGCTAAAAGGACCCTCATCACTTTCTAGGGTGGCATATTAGTCAGTTACCACGTCATCTTCATTGTTGACTCATCAACCCACATCTCTAGCACACCCCTCAACAATAGCAAGACTAAATTTGATGGCTATTTTTTGCCATGCTAAGAAACTCCAATCAATGGTATTAGAGGAAAGAAAATATATTCAAAATTTAGTTTTGAATCAAGATTTTGGCAGAATAAAGCTAACTCCTAAAAGTATTCCCTTAATAGCCTTTAGTGCTCCTACAAGACACTATGAAGCTAGTAATGCCTTTTGGGTTAAAATATGCCTCCCGAATATTTTAAAGAAGAATGGATAGTGTATTCTCACCTATTAGAAGATTTTGTATAGTATATGTAAATGATATACTTATCTTCTCAGATAATGAAAAAGACTATTTTTATCATTTTAAGAAATTTTCATATCTATGTATAAAACATGGGATATTACTTTCGAAATAGAAAGTATAAATAGGAAAAACTAAAATTGAATTCTTGGGATAACTATAGTCTCTATAAGTGATGAGAACCCCAAAGAGAACAATGAGATCCCTAGCACGATAAGAGATTTCTAAATTCTAGGAAACCCAAATTAGGTTTATAATAGGACCTTGACCTGTTATTTATGTCGCAACAAGAACCAAAGGCAAAAACCTTGACTCGTTGTCTATGATGCAACAAGAACCAAAGGTATAAAGTTGGTTGACACCACACCCTCAAAAGATTAAGAACGAGAATGATAAGTCAGGTTAGGACGCCATAAGAATAATCTTGATAAGTTTTGTAAAGTTCTGAAATGAACCAAAGAGAAAAGTCTCTCAAAAACTCAGATTCAATAGCTCCCCCCAATCAGGGTTACAAGCCCTTTAAATAGGGAAAAGTAATTCTAATCAGAATAGGAAACTAGCATCCTAAGCCCTAATCCTAATTACCATGAATTGGGCCTCAAATAAATGGATGTTCAGCCCAAAATAATACAAAAAACATGAAAATCACTTAAAGTAACCTAAAGTAACATGAAGTATCAGTTTGTTACAAATTGCGACAAAATTGCGAGATCTTGATGTAAATTGTGCAATTTAGCATAAATGACCTCAATTAAGCTTCACTTGAACCTGAATGATGTTTACCATGCCTTGATAATCATCCAAGCTTAGATTTACTGTTGCATGTTGTTATCAACCCAGATCTACTCAATAAGGCCATTTAAAGCTTTTTGCTTCTTCCTAGCTCCAGCTTTCGTGACTGGACCTCCTAGAATGTGTAATGGATCTCTTGACATGGTACATGTGGGGTCATCTGTTGACTCAATGTACTCCAAGAGGGGGGTGAATTGGAGTTCCAAAAATTCTCCCTTTTTTGCAACCACAAAACCAAAATTAAAGAGAGTAGAGAAGAAGAGCTTACTCAATGATTTATAGAGGTTCGATCCAACCACTTGGAGCCTAGTCCTCTACCTTGGCTTCACTCACCAAGGATTTCCTCCACACTCTCCACTAACAACAACAAGGGTGGCTTAAAGGAGCCACTCAATCCTTTTACAAGAAGAAGGGTGTTTCTCTCAAATCTCACCCCTTTACACTTAAACCCCAAGAATCCTCTCTACAAATCACTCTTGAAGGATTAATCACACCCTCAAGATCACTCACAAATAGAACAAGAAGAGGATTACAAGTAAAGATCTCTCAAAGATCAAAATCTCAAGTTAAAGCACAAATTGGTAGGTAAAGATATTCAATACAATGCTCTCTAAACTTCTTTAGATCTTCTACCAACTATATTTATAACCCCATGGTCAAAAATAGCTGTTACTAGCTGTTGGGGGTCATTTAATGCTCTGCAGGTCGCTTAATTCGAGTTGTAGAATTGTTAGTAGAGCCGGCTTTGTACAGCCGACGCACCATTTCTGCAGCTGGCTTTGCGGGATTCCTGCACATTCTGTTTTCTTCCACAGCCGGCTGCAAAGCCTAGAGCCGGCTTTAGGATTCCAACTTTAAACACATTAAATAATCTTCAAATAACTTGACCGTTGTGCATTAGATGTACCCTCACAGCCGGCTGCCAAGTTAGAGCCGGCTCTGCGTCTTTTCTCCACGCGCACCAAACAACGGACCTTTAAATCTTTACCCGTAGAGCCAGCTGCAGCTTCTAGAGCCGGCTCTCTGCACATTTTCAATCCTTTTGGTCTATTTTTAGTGCAGTCCAAGTTTACTTACAATCTTTTAGCAACTTAACTACACACTTAAATAAACCAATTAGTCACTCAAATGTGTTTTGTAATCATCAAAATCATAGGCACAACAATCTCCCCCTTTTTGATGATGACAAAACACTTTGAGAATTAATTAATAAAAGCACATATATACTTCAATATTAACCAGAATTTCAGCACAAAGATACTCTAGAAAATGACATTAAATTCAACATATTCTTCTCCCCCTTTTTTTCATTCATCAAAAAGCACATAATACAAACTCCCCCTTAATTCATGCACATCAATCTTTAAAGCATTTAAGCATGATAACCATTAAGAAGAGCAATTTTAGCACAAAATGCTCCCCCTCAATAAGAGAATACAGTCATCAAAATCATAAACAACCATTCACAAAGCATGATAACACAAGTGATGCCATTTCCATTCATAAAAAAGGATAAAAAGGTTCAAGAAATATCCATAGTCAAAGAAAAACATAATCACAAGCCTAAAAACATAAAATGCATAACCCTGAGATGTCCATCCTAAAGATTAGCCAAACTAAAGAAATATCAAGTTAGGTGGCACTAGTTAGGGGTGGAGGAAAAAAATGGTTAACAAGCTGATCAAGCTTTCCATCCATGGTATCCATTTTCCCTCTCATTTCTGTCTAGAAACCATAGAAGTCGGTGTGCAGCTGTTGCATTTCATTTATCATTAGCTCCATGGTTTCACGGTTTGTCCTTTGCATGGAGACTTGAAAGGGTCTTGGACTATCACTTCCATATTCTTCTTCCCCCTGTTCTGCCATTTCTTGATCCGCATCACCTTCTTCTTCATCACTTTGCTGTTCCATTGCTTGATCCCCTTTCTTCCTCCAACTATCATTCCAAAACTTATATTGCATTTTATCAAAGGATGCTTTAGTGAGAGTAGTTCCAGCTTTAACTTTTCCATGCTTGAAAGATTCAAGATCAATGTTGTTCCTTTTTACTAGCCTAGTAATCAATGCAACATGCGGAAGACCCATATCCGAGGAGTAACTCTTGACAACGTTGTGGTAAATAAATCTACCAAGGTTCAACCTTTTCCGCTTCAGAAGATAATCAAACCAAGGAAGATCACTAGTAAGCACAAAAGACTTAGACCCCTTTCTTTAAGCAAGAATATGACTAATAATCCACTAGAATGCTCTGTTTTCTGGTGAAAGAAAGCCCACACTAATATGATTTGTAGTACATGTTGGTGCAAGTGCGAGTCTAATTTCTTAATGGTTGATATTCTCAAATTCATCATCTCCACCCTCTGATATTTCTAATACATTGCAAATCTCTCTAGGTGAAAACTGAATCACTACTCCATTAACCTTAGTTTTGCACTTCTCCCTTTTTGGTTTCAAATTAGCATAGAATTGGTGAACCACATCATTATACACATGCTCCTTAATCTCTAAAAAATTACTCCATCCAAGTTCTCTAAAAATCTCTTCTACATGTATATTCCCTTGAGGAAAGTGACTAAACTTCACATTGTTGCATGGTAACACAGCCAAATTTTTGACAAAATTGTACTAATTGAAGGCATCATCATCCCAAAATAGAGAAGTATTACAAAGGGTACCTTTCTCCTAGGCTTGGCCATCGGCACTAGAACTCCCAATCTGTTTCCTCTTGCTTTCGCCCCTTCTTGAAGCCATGAGAGAGAGAACTCCGCAAAACCCAACCAAAATTGGAGCAAAAAGCTTGTGGATTTGTGTAAGGATTTGAAGATATTTGAGTATTTGAGGGATGGGTTTTGGTAGATTTTGAGGGATTTTGGTGTTTGGGAGAGTGAATGGTGAGTTTTGGGAGAGGGAGGTCCGAAAAATGCCAGATCTGGTGCGAAGAGAGAGAGGCCCGAAATATTTAAAGGTTGACGGAGAGCCGGCTTTAGTCTTGGAGCCGGCTCAATCTTAGAGAGAGAAAACTCTCGGGTTTTTGGGTTGAGCCGGCTGTGAAAATGGTTAAGTCGGCTCTACTAGCCTTGATTGGGACAAACAGAAAGTTTGGGGCTGTTTTGAAGGGAGTGTACCTAATTTGATATTTCTTCATTTAACTAAGTTTAAATTGAACATCAATTACTAAATTATGCAACTCATATATCAATGTATGCATCATCAAATAGCATGAATATAATCAAGGTACACAAATTCTAATAATCAAATTCATTAATTTCAAGAATCATATCAAGCACTAGGAAAGACACATCAAATGGAATCATACTCAACAAGCATATGTATCAAAGAGTCAGCACACATAAACCAATAATTAATAGTCATGCTAATGTGATTATACTTAATGAATAAATGCAATAGGATAAATGATACCAATTTGAGCACATGAGTGGAGCATTCAAAAACAAATTCTCTTTGCACTTTCACTTCAACATTGTTGTTGAGGCATAAGTCTTTATTAAGATCAACTTTACTCTTTTTATGACTTTGCCATCAACTTTACCTACAAAACAAAATTAAGTTTTGATTTTTGGTACTCAAATTTGCTTGGGTCCATAGGGGTTAGTGCTTAAAGTTCCTTTTGGAACCCAAATTTGCTTCACTTTACCTTGGGCTATCAATCTCTTCAAAGGGCATACATAGGCAAAGTGTCCATTTGCACCACAACAATAGCAAGTAACATTAGGATGAAGTAATTGACTTGCTCTTACAAAAGAATTCTTAAAAATCTTTTGCTTTTTAGAATAATCAAACCCAATGCCCCCTTTGTCATAAATACTTCTTTGAGATTTTAAGATAGAATCAAATTTTTCTTTACTCAAGGTAAATTTGGAAATCACATTCTCAAGATCACAAGCTTTTCTCTTTAAAACATCATTTTCCTTCTTTAAATCTTCATTTCCTTTCTTTAAATCCTCATTTTCTTTTTTAAAAGCATTATTAGACTCCTCATTCTTTAAAGAAGCAATCTCACCATTTAAAGAGGCATTCTCTTTAACTAAAAGCTCATTTTGTTTTGAGAGAGCTTCAATCTCATTCCTAAGCAATGAAATAGTTTTAGTAAGAGCAATATTCTCATTTGCTAGTTTCTTAATGTCATTCATAGAGCAATCAAGAACTTTGAATAAATCATCATAAGAATACTCAAATGAACTTTTATTAATTGAACTAGAGAAGTAAGAATTTACCTCCTCATCATGGTTGCTATCCTCTTGAGCCATGAAGCAAAGATTTGCAACACCTTTCTCCAAGGAGCTTTCACTTTCCGTTGAGCTAGTCTCATCATCACTCCAAGTGGCAACAAAAGCTTTCTTCTTCATGCTCTTCTTGCCTTTCTTCTCACCCTTGTTCAATTTGGGACATTCATTTCTATAGTGCTCCATCTTGTTGCACTCATAGCATTTCACACTCCTTTTGGTAGACTTTCCTTCATCTCTTTTTTCAAGCTTGCTCTTGATGTTCTTTCTTTATGAATCTTCTCACTTCTTTAGAGATCAAGGTGGAGATGTTTTCACCATCACTAGCATCATCTTCACTATTTTCCTTTTGGTTGCTAGCCTTGAATGCAACATCCTTCTTCTTCTTCTTCTCAACTACTTCAACCTCTCCATCAACTTGAACTTCTATTTCATATGTAATCAATTTTCCAATGAGATCTTCAAGCTTGAGAGCGTTGAGATCCTTAGACTCTTCAATTGCGGTATTCTTGGCTTCCCAATTCTTGGGCAAGCTTCTAAGAACCTTCCTCACCACTTCTTGAGAAGGATAGACTTTACCAAGAGCCTTGAGATTGGTGACTATATCATTCAATCTTGTATACACATCTTGAATGCTCTCCTCTGGTTTCATTTTGAAAAGCTCATACATGTAAATGAGTCTATTGATTTTTGACTCCTTCACTTGGCTTGTTCCTTCATGTGTTACCTCCATCATGTCCCACATCTCTTTAGCAGCATCACACTCGGAAACTCTATGGAATTTCGTTGGATTGAGAGCACATTGAAGCATGTTGATTGCTTTGTTGTTGATCATGATCTTCACCAAGTCTTCATCATTCCATTCAACTTCTTCCTTTAGCACCTCACTTTCCCCAACTACTTTCATAGCACATATGGACCTTTCATAGTCACAATCCATGCCTTGGGCACATTTGCAAGCATGAAGACCTTCATCCTATTCTTCTAATAATTATAATTAGTACCATCAAAGAAAGGAGGCTTGGTGATAGACAAACCTTCAAGTGGTTGAGAAGCTTGAAATTGAGCCATCCCCGATCAACTCCTAGGTCGTTAAACCTTCAAATTGGAGCCCTTGCTCTGATACCAATTGTTGACTCAATGTACTCCAAGAGGGGGGGTGAATTGGAGTTCCAAAAATTCTCCCCTTTTTGCAACCACAAAACCAAAATTAAAGAGAGTAGAGGTTCAATGATTTATAGAGGTTCGGTCCAACCACTTGGAGCCTAGTCCTCTACCTTGGCTTCACTCACCAAGGATTTCCTCCATACTCTTCACTAACAACAGCAAGGGTGGCTTAAAGGAGCCACTCAATCCTTTTATAAGAAGAAGGGTGTTTCTCTCAAATCTCACCCTTTTACACTTAAACCCCAAGAATCCTCTCTACAAATCACTCTTGAAGGATTAATCACACCCCCAAGATCACTCACAAATAGAACAAGAAGAGGATTACAAGTAAAGATCTCTCAAAGATCAAAATCTTAAGTTAAAGCACAAGTTGGTAGGTAAAGATATTCAATACAATGCTCTCTCAACGTCTTCAGATCTTCTAGCAACTATATTTGTAACCCCATGATTGAAAATAGCCGTTACTAGCCGTTGGGGGTCATTTAATGCTCTGCAGATTGCTTAATTCGAGTTGTAAAATTGTCAGTAGAGCCGGCTTACACTTCTAGAGATGGCTCTATACAGCTGGCTCACCATTTCTACAACCGGCTTTGCGGGATTCCTGCACATTTTGTTTTCTTCCACAGCCGGCTGCAAAGCCTAAAGCTGGCTTTAGGATTCCAACTTTAAACACATTAACTTCAAATAACTTGACCGTTGTGCATTAAATGCACCCTCATAGCCGGCTGCAAAGTTATAGCCGGCTCTACATCTTTTCTCCACGCGCACCAAACAACAGACGTTTAAATCTTTACCCATAGAGCCGACTGCAGCTTCCAGAGCTGGCTCTCTACACTTCCATTTCACCAGAGCCGGTTGCAGCTTTTAAGAGTTGGCTCTCTGCACATTTTCAATCTTTTTGGTCTATTTTTAGTGCAGTCCCAGTTTACTTGCAATCTTTTATCAACTTAACTACACACTTAAATAAACCAATTAATCACTCAAATGTGTTTTGTAATCATCAAAATCATAGGCACAACATCATCTTGATTACCATCATTCCCTCTCTCCTCAAAAGGATTTGTCCTCAAATCGTCACCTACATCAAAAGGAGAAAGATTAGAAACATTAAAAGTAGGACTAACATTATACTCACCAGGAAGCTCCAACTTGTATGCATTGTCGTTTATCCTTGCAATCACTTGAAATGGTCCATCACCTCTTGGTTGCAACTTAGAATGCCTTTGTGTAGGGATCGTTCCTTCTGGATATGCACCCAAACCCAATCTCCAGGTTCAAACACAACTTTCTTGCGCCCTTTGTTAGCTTGATTTGCGTATTGCTCAATTCGTCGCTTTATGTTTTGTCGCACCCTCTCATGTAGTTGCTTAACCACTTTAGCTTTCTTTTTCCCATCCAAACTATCTCGTTCATCAATGGGTAATGGCAGTAAATCCAAAGGGGTGAGTGGATTAAAATCATATACAACTTCAAATGGTGAACAGTTAGCTGTTGAATGGACGCTCCGATTATAAGCAAATTCAACATGCGAAAAACATTCTTCCCAATTCTTCAATTTTTTTGAATAATAGAATGCAATAAGGTTGACAATGTCTTATTAACCACTTCTATTTGTCCATCAGTTTGTGGATGACAAGTAGTCAAAAACAATAGCCTAGTTCCTAACTTTTCCCACAAGGTCTTCTAAAAGTAACTCAAGAACTTAACATTGTGATCAGAAACAATAGTCCTTGGAACACCATGTAAACGAACAACCTCCTTGAAGAACAGATAAGCAATATTGGTTGCATCATCGATTTTATGACATGAAATGAACTGTGCTATCTTCGAGAACCTGTCAACAACAACAAAAATAGAATCACAACCTCTTTTCAACCTTAGTAAGCCCAAAACAAAATCCATAGATATATCAACCCAAGGTTCAATCGGTATGGGTAAGGGAGTATACAAACCATGTGGTAAAACTCTAGATTTTGCTTGTTTACATGTTACGCACCTTTCACACATCCTTTCAACATCGCATTTCAAATGTGGCCAAAAGAAGTGATCGTTCAGAATATCTAAAATTTTCCTAACTTCAAGATGTCCTATTAAGCCACCCGCATGTGATTCCCTTATTAGCAATTCTCTTAATGAACAATTAGGCACACATAATCAATTTTCTCTAAATAAGAACCCATCATGCCTATAAAACTTATCAGAAGCTACCTTCTCACATGTATTAAACATGTTAGCAAAATCTGGATCATTAGCATATAATTCTTTAATCTGCTCAAATCCTAATAACTTTGCGCTTAAAGTAGAGATAAGTGTGTACTTGCGAGATAATGCATCAGCCACAATGTTTTCTTTTCCTTGCTTGTACTTGATCACATAGGGAAATGTCTCAAGGAATTCCACCCACTTAGCATGTCGTCTATTTAACTTACCTTGTTTCTTGAGGTGCTTCAACGACTCATGATTAATATGTATCACGAACTCCTTAGGCCAAAGATAATGCTGCCACCATTCTAAGGCCTTTACTGATGCGTACATCTCTTTGTCATATGTAGGATAGTTAAGTGCTACACTAGTCAATTTTTCACTTAAAAACACAATAGATCGTTCTTGCATCAAAACAGCGCTGATGCCAAGACCTGATGTATCACATTCAATTTCAAAAGTTCTAGTAAAATTAGGTAAAGTAAGTAATGGTGCAAAAATTAAATTCTCCTTAATCAAATTAAAATCATTCTCCTATTCACTTTCCCACTTAAATTTGACACTTTTTTTCACGATTGGTTAAATGCTTAATTTGGTCCCTTAACTTTAAGAAATGAACATTTTTGGTCCCTCAACAATTTTTTGCACTTTTTTGATCCCTCAACTATACGAAATGCACTCCGTTAGTCCTTCTGTTAATTTGGGCCGTTAACCTTGTTTACGTGGCATTTTTTATATTTTTTTTGATGACATGGAGAGCAAAATTTCAAAAAGTGATGACATGGATAAAATTTTTGCCATGTCAGATGCTATCTGGCGAAAACACA